GTTTGTAAACACCTGGAAATTTATACTAAAACAATTAGTCGCCTCAGGCTCGGTGATTACATGCCTATATTCACTTCGCCTTCGGCTCAGTGAATATAGGCTTGTAATCACCTCGCCTTCGGCGACTAATTGTTAAATAGGCTTTCCCTTCGACTTTTGCTCTTTTCTTATAACGGATGGACCCAGCGTAGTCTACGCCAATATAAACTTGGAATGGGTGTGTTCCTCGTGTACGATCTTCGGGCAAGTTGCCAGGAGGGGGATCCGCCACAGCTCGGGCTTGGAACCTTCGACATCCGTGGCACTCTTTCACAGTTCTCTTGACAAGTCTCCGTAAACTTGGAACCCAGTGATCCTTTCTCACACTTGTCATCGTCAGCTGGACTCCCCCATGAAAAGTGCGCAAATGCTCTCGTTGCACCAACTTCTTCGTGTAAGGATGAGAATCTGGGAGATAGATTGGGTACTCGCCTTGAACCCGGCCTCGACACTGAAGAATCCCCTGTCCATTTGGTTGAAGGTTAAGTCGTAAAAGATCTTCCTCGTTATCGCTGCTTTGTTGCGCTCGTTTGATCCAAAAACTATGCTGGGACATTAGTTCATCGGTTGTTAGTGGACCTCGGATGACGTCGTTGGGATGCTGGCAGTTGTAAATGAATTGCGCTATCCATGCCATGATTCTTATTGCTTTACTCGGTTCGTAATTCTCAAGGATAAGGTTCAGCTGGTCGGGGTTGGTTTCTGTGGCTGCTGCGAAAATTTCTCTGGTTACTCTTGACTTCTTCTTTGCTCTCTGCAGATGACTGACTTACAATATCTTGTGGCCAATTCTCGGGTTTGGCCATCCATTCAGGACCATTCCACCACAACTCCTTGTGTTGAACATCACCATCCCTGCTCGCCAGATCTGCTGGGTTTTTTTCCGTGGGGACGTGTCTCCATTTGATCTCTGGTATTGCTTGAATCTTTCGGACACGATTCTTGACAAACAGTTTGTACTGCCCTTCACCTCTGATCCAGTGAAGGACAACTAAACTGTCCGTCCACCCACACACATCTGTAACAGGGAAACCATTCAGAGCCTCCTTGACATTGATAAGGAGGTTTGTCACCATATGAGCTGCAACCAATTCCAATCGGGGAATGCTAGGTCCCTTCTTCGCTAACCTCGCTTTCGCTGCCACGAGACGTTGTGTAACACCTGATTCTTGACTTACAACTGCGAATGCTGTTGCTCCTACACCGTCACCACTTGCATCGCCGAAACCATGTAACTGAATGTACTGTATCGGTTGTTTGTATGCCGCTAACGATCTAGGCACGTTCACTTGCTGGGGAAGACGGCATTCCAACTTCTTCCATGCACGTTTCAATTCGGTCGGTAACTGCTTGTCCCAGGCAAGCTTCTGGTCACAAATAGCTCGGTACAACAGTTTTTCTTGCAAGGTAAGGGGGGGGGGGAAACGAATCCGAGCGGGTCATATATACTTGCAAGCTTGCTCAGCACACCTCGTTTCGTTTCTTCAACTTTATCCTCTGGAAAGGAGATGCTTATCTCATCACATTTCTTGTTCCAGCCCAGACCCAACAAATTTGAATCTGCCCCATCAGGCTTTCCCAGTTGCTGCTTAGCGAACGTTTCATCCTCACTAGTTGACAAATCCGGATGATCCTCGAGTTCAGCTTCATTCGAGTGCCATTTGTGTAGAGTAAATGTAGCATCTTCAAAGATCTCAACCGCTTGCTGCTTGACTTCCTGTGCTTCTTCTACTGTAACTCCACCACTCAAGATGTCGTCTACGTAAAGACTCTTCCGCAACTCTGCAACAGCCTCTGGCATACGAGATTCCCAGTTGTCAGATTCTGTTCGATCACCCCTCCTAACAAGAAGGGTGATGAAGTCAGCCCAAACATAACCCGTGTAACCCGTAAAGTTTCAAGTTCTGAATGTTCTCCGGGTTGCCCGTGGAACCTCAAGGCGTCACGGTCTTCCTCTTTCACACGCACTTGCAAGAATGCTTTCTTTAGGTCTCCATTGACTGCCACAGGATGAGCTCTCGATCTGACCAGAACGTTCCACATGTTGTTTTGCAGCACAGGACCAGGGTTCAGACAGTCATTAAGTGAGGCAGCATCTGCATGGGCTTTCGCACTGGCATCGTACACTATGCGGAGCTTGGTTGTCTCGGCATTCTCTTTCACAACGGGCTTATGCGGTATGTAGAATTCCACTCCCTTCGCTCGATCATTTGCTGGTTCAACCACGCCTTCCGCTTTTTGCTCTTCAATCTTCACAGCATACGCTTCATCCAGCCCAGATTTCTGCAACTTACGCTTCAGGTTTCGCAACCGACACAAACTACTCTGTTCATTAGTTGGTAAGGGAGGGTAGTTACCCCTCCAGGGCAGTCCTGTATCATACCAACCTGCCTCATTGCGGGTCAGTTGCTCTCGGAACTCAGCATACACTTCCTTCTGGTCTTGTTGTGGCGAATCAGCTAGCCCCAAAACATCAAGTCGGCATAACTCATCATATTCAACATGGTTGGTTTGGGTCAAAAGCACCCGAGTAGTTACCAATTCTTTGCCTTGTGATAAAATAAACCACCAAGTTTTGTATGTTCTGCAACAGGGTCACCTTGTTTCCCTATACGAGGTCTGGAATCAGTTTTGATCTTTGCGAAAACTCCGGCTCCTAATATTACATGCACTGGGAGATAGGGTTTAGTGTCATAGTCGTCCATTTTCACACCTTTCAAATGAGAATAGGACTAAATTAGTTGGAATTGGTTCCAAAATCTGGTCCAATCAATGTATTCACCATTGAATTTAGTAATACTGAGTTTTGGAAGCTTCGTTAGGGCTTTCTCAGTACTTGGGTTTTCCAGGGGGGGGTTGACTTCTTCAATTCCATCTCTTTAAAGTGAAGTTTCTGTTCGAAAAGTTCTCGCTCAAACTCAATAGGGGGGGGGGGATAAAACATTTGGCGCCCCTTCCACCCCCCCCAC